TCTCTAAGCAAGAGTTCAGTCAGTAGTAGAGACAGATGCAGTGCAAATATATATGGAATTTATTGCAATGTGAACCATCAACAATATTTTAAAACAGCCATGAAACACAAATGGGTAATGATATGGCCACTGGCTACCAACCACCAACTTTGACTTGCTTCTGGGGGGGTTTAGCCGATTAGCTACCTCCATGCTAGCAACGCAGAGTAGCATATTAGCTTGGTAGCCAGAGGTGAATGGTTTCAGAAATCAGGAACCTCAGCTCCTTCAAAACAGCTGTTCAGAAATCACTGGGTGGACACATCACAACCCAAGCGAAATCGGCCGGGCAAAATTCAACACAGTGGACGCTGTAGCGCTACTGCTGACTAGCGTTTGGGGGTGTAATTGCAGATTGACGGACACACGGACACACAGGTATAAATGCCTGGCTACCTGCGTAGCCTACGGCGTAGCTACTAACGTAGATACTCACGTAGACTCTACGCAGGAGTATAAATCGAGCTAAAGCCCTCACAAACTTGTGTGGACATTGGGGCCCAATCCCAATGTCCACACTCACAGACTTTGAGGCGCGTTCCCAGGAAGTCCGTGAGGGCTTAGGGCTGTCCCACGGTCAAATCGTCAAGTCCACGAGGGTTCTCTCACGGACATTTTGAGACCTTTATAGACACTTTTTGTAAGTCCGCATTTCTGCAGACTTTGGCTGAGGGAATTGCCCAAAGTTCATAGCGCTATGACGTGAAACACAGGGGTTACCGGGGGAAGACCGGAAGCAAAAAAAATTTCACAGCAATTCCACGTTATAAGAGAAGAAGAAGAAAACAGTAAACAAACAAGCATCAACACGCTCATGTTAAAATTGTTGAAAGTTTTCTTAACTTAAGTCAGAGGAATGCAGTCACCTTATTACACACTTAGTTTATTCAACTCTTTATTTTAGTTTTTGCTTAATGATGCTGTTTGACCAACAATAGTGTATTGACATTTACCTCTCCTCCACTCTGTAGGGCCAGAGCCTGCAGGACTTAAAATCAGGTAAAAACATTAAATAAAAAGTATGCAACCTGTTTCAGCATCGTCAAGGTGATAAAGTGGCAAAGGGCTGTCCCGTTCCTGTTTACAGCATTAAGAGCCCTTGCAGCCTCTTAAACTAATCACTTTCCAAGTGACGTCAGTAAAGTCTCTGAGGGTTCAGGGATTTGGGTTTAGGGGGGGGACATTGGGATTGGGCCTAAGTGGTGTCACGGTTTGGTATGGGTGAGGCAGGTTGGAGGACCCAAATGCACGACGCAAGGCAGGAAGAGGTATAGTACAATGGGGTTTTAATGTAACAAAAAGCGAGCACACTTACAGTTGAGTGGCTGAATACAGAGTCCGAAAACAAAGGTGGTCTAAACAGAGATCCAAAGGGAGCAGCGTAACAGGGAGACATGACAGCCAACAGGCGACCTCACAGCAACTCCAGGGGACAGCATACAATGACCCGACAAAGACAAGACAGAAACACCAGGTATACACACACACACACACACACGGACTAACGAGCAGGGCGGGAGCAACACAGGTGAAGGACATGAGATTAACGAGGCAGGCAGAGAGAGACAGTGAATAGAGAGACTGACATGCAGGCAGAGTGACAACTGGGGGAACAGACGGAACACAGGTTACTGAACACAAAACAGACCAGAGTGAACACTTAACATGAACTAAGGTACAGGACTGGGAACAAGGACAAAGAACTAAAACGCAGGAACAAGAGCAAGGCAGTGACTAAGAAACAATATAACAAGTAGACTACCAAACCAATATCAAAACAACACAGGACTACGAGCTAGAACACCAGACAAGACATAAACACTAAGGACAAGGAAACAAGAAGAACAGGAAAACAGAAGGACACCAGAAACAAATGGCAAAAACTACAACTCATGACAGTACCCCCCTCTCAAGGAACGGATCCCAGACGTTCCTTCAAAGCACGAACCAAACAGTCCCAAAACAAAGTGTCCATGCAGCCCCCGGGTGGGCGGAGGGAGGACTGGAGGAGGGCAAGAGCCAAACCAGGGTGGGCGGAGGGAGGACAGGAGGAGGGCCAGAAAAAACAAAAAACCCACAGTCCAAGGAGCAGACAGAAGGGGACCAGAGAACAGGGGGGAGGTCAAACAGGCAGGGCCAGGCAGTTCAGGAGGCTGACCGAGGCATCCAGTGGGGAACAAAAGTTCAGGGGGTCGTCCCGGAGGGTGACCCATGAGGCTGGGCAAATCAGGGGGAGAACAGAGTTCAGGAGGCCGTCCCGGAGGACGACCCAACAGGCCGGGCAGAACAGGGAGGCAACAACGTTCAGGAGGTCGTCTGGGAGGACGACCCAACTGGGCGGGAGGACCAGAGGGTCCACAGAGTTCAGGTGGCCGTCCTGGAGTACAGCCCTGGAGGCCGGACTGTTCCGGGGGACGGCAGGAAGGCCAACAAAGAGGCTGGAAACCCACTGGAGGCCAAGCGGGAGGCCGACGGCATGACCTCTCCAGAGGTCGGCACCCAAAGCTCTGGTGCTCTGGAGCTGCAGCAGGGCTGAGGTCCGAGAACTGAGCAGCTGGGCTGAGGACCACCGGCGAGACAGCTGGGCTGAGGACCATGGACCGGACACGAGGAGCTGGAGTCGGTCTGAACACCGACTGGACAGCTGGGCTGGGAACCATGGACCGGACACGAGGTGCTGGAGTCGGTCTGAACACCGACTGGACAGCTGGGCTGGGGACCATGGACCGGACACGAGGTGCTGGAGTCAGTCTGACCACTGACTTGATAGCTGAGGTCCACGGACTGAGCAGCTGGGCTGAGGACCATGGAACGGACACGAGGAGCTGGAGTCGGTCTGAACACCGACTGGACAGCTGGGCTGGGGACCATGGACCGGACACGAGGTGCTGGAGTCGGTCTGAACACCGACTGAGCAGCTGGGCTGAGGACCATGGGCCGGACACGAGGAGCTGGAGTCGGTCTGAACACCGCCGAAGCTGGTGTTGGTCGGACTACCGACGAGGGAACAGGAGTCGGCTGGGCCACCGGCGAAGCAGGTGCCGGTCGGACCACCGACGGAGCACGAGGAACGGGAGTCGGCTGGGCCACCAACGAAGCTGGTGCTGGTCGGACCACCGACGAAGGAACAGGAGTCAGCTGGTGATCAGGCTGGCTGCTAGCAGATTCTGCCCACCTGATCGGGCAGGTGGGCAGGCAGAAAGCTAGTAGCACTAGCTGGCCTGGGATCACGCTGGTTGCAGACAGGTCGCTGCTGGTGACCTGGTCGCCTCCGATGACCACCACGGGAACCCGAAAAGATGGCCAGGCGACTTCCCTCGAAGGAGGACTCCGGGGGGAGCCTAGCCTCCAGGCTATCAGGCCATAGGCTAGCTGTGCTAGCTGGCCGGTAATCAGGCTGGGGGCTGGAGTTCACAAAACTCTTGGCCCACCTTGGCAGTCGACGTCGCAGCCATGGCCTTGCGGCTACCTCCCAGTGAGCCTTAATGAGGGCAGCTTGCTGGGATTTGTGGCTTGACGCGAACTGCCAGATTGTCCATAGTTCGGCCAAAACGTCCAAGAACCTCTCCCTCTCCATTTTTGCGTCTGCTGGGTCCATATTTGGTCGGGTCATTCTGTCACGGTTTGGTATGGGTGAGGCAGGTTGGAGGACCCAAATGCACGACGCAAGGCAGGAAGAGGTATAGTACAATGGGGTTTTAATGTAACAAAAAGCGAGCACACTTACAGTTGAGTGGCTGAATACAGAGTCCGAAAACAAAGGTGGTCTAAACAGAGATCCAAAGGGAGCAGCGTAACAGGGAGACACGACAGACAACAGGCGACCTCACAGCAACTCCAGGGGACAGCATACAATGACCCGACAAAGACAAGACAGAAACACCAGGTATATATACACTCACACAGGGACTAACGAGCAGGGCGGGAGCAACACAGGTGAAGGACATGAGATTAACGAGGCAGGCAGAGAGAGACAGTGAATAGAGAGACTGACATGCAGGCAGAGTGACAACTGGGGGAACAGACGGAACACAGGTTACTGAACACAAAACAGACCAGAGTGAACACTTAACATGAACTAAGGTACAGGACTGGGAACAAGGACAAAGAACTAAAACGCAGGAACAAGAGCAAGGCAGTGACTAAGAAACAATATAACAAGTAGACTACCAAACCAATATCAAAACAACACAGGACTACGAGCTAGAACACCAGACAAGACATAAACACTAAGGACAAGGAAACAAGAAGAACAGGAAAACAGAAGGACACCAGAAACAAATGGCAAAAACTACAACTCATGACAAGTGGGGGAAGAGCTAGACTCTCAGCACATTTAAAAATAAAATACCGTTACAGATTTTCGATCGTATATCAACAATAAATACAATTAAATCAGACAAAAAAGAAAGATTTTTACTACGTAGCCTACTTAATCATAGTAGAAGCACAAAAAGCAAGCACTAATCACCAAATCAACAAAATCTAAACGTCATCAAAGTCCGGAAGGTAAAACGCTCTTATTCTGAAGTGCTACCTGTGGTAGTTGTTAGATGCACCCGTCAAGACAAGAAACTAAAGCGATCCACAGAGACTTTTGAAGAATGTAGTAGAAGCACAAAAAGGACAAATAAGAACAAGTCATTAACGCGGGGCAGGCTACAAGCTTCGCTGCTGAAATGCTTCTGAGAGGCTTCCAGTGGAAGTTGCACACATGCAGCCTATGTCCATCCCTCAGAATTCCCATGATGCATGAGGGTGAAGAGAGTTTTGTTAAAATGTACTAATAAGTTGCCATTTGTTTGAAATACAAATGTTACTTTATGATTTATGTTTATTAAAACGTGTCTCATAGAATAGTGTGTTTGTTGGTAATTCTCATTCTTGTCATTTTCAAAAGATAGCAAACTCTTGATAATGTATACTTTATTTGAAGGAATTTCAACTGAAGTGAAACTCACTTGTTCAAGATTTCTTTTACAATTCCTGCAAGTTCGTTCTGGTCCACATCAGCCAAACTGTTTCCAGCAGACAGGAACAAACCCAGCGTTACAGCCATCCAGTACAGGACAGCCATCTGAGAGTGATAGACAAACAGCACCAGCAGAGAGGATCAGAATCAGGGATAAGAATAATAAAAACACTAAATACATTACAATTTCAAAATATATTATCTGCAACAGGTTGTTGTTAAACACAGTGTTCACTACATGCTGCCTGTATAGTATTTACACTATATCTTACACATTATGATGTGCTCTAAAAACATTGAGCGAGGCTACAGTAATGAGGAAAAATGTGTCAAATAGTTTGCTCATTCTTGAGAAATATAGCAACACATTTAAAAGTCAAACTTTTACAAACTGTAATCCATACTCACTGTTCAGAAATTGTTCTCCGGCTATTTGGTCAGACTGTGGTCTGACGAAATAGTCAGCAGCTGTTATTGATTTCAGTGAGCAACAACACAGCAACCAGCCATTTCAGGACATAAGTGGGATCTCTTATTTTTGCTGGACATTAATTGACTTAAAACATTTGTAACATTATGTGGTCTTTGTTTGCTGTGAGTCTTAAGCCTGGTATCATAACCCAACACTGAGTAGTGTCATGGAAATTATATTCCTGAGGAGGGGTTGAGCAAATAATTGAGTTTCCAACCAACCCACAAAAATAAAACTTCTGTTTTATCCAACTGGAATAACTATTATACTAGTAGAAAGAAGTAGGCCACATTAGCTGAAATTCTAATAAATACACTAACATTAACCCTAGTCAAGCCTTAACAAGAGCGGTGTAATAATAGAAAACTGTTGTGAAACAACTGAATTGTTGATTCTCAACTTATTAGCTGTTGAATTGTTACAAATAGCCTAAACTATCTGAAGGTAGACAATCCAAACAAAGCTTGTAATCTATATAAATATAAACATTAATAATATTATTTACTTTATATTTAATGTTATAGACTATATTATTATATTATAGTAATATACAATTTTAAACTACTTGCTTACATGACAGAAGTCAGTAACACAACTTAAAACTCAAAATTAACTGACTATTTACTTAACATGGGACTTGAACACTGTTCTCCTGTGTCAAGGTCCTGGGTTTGACCTATTACTTCACTCCACCTTCTAATGACTTGCTATTTATGATATGTCATCCTGCTTCCTCCTTTGCTACTGTTGTTATGCCACTAAGGGTTGCTGCCATAATAAATGAAAATCGGTGTAGCAATAACGTCCTTCCAAAAATTACCAATTTGTTAGTTTTTCTGTGGAGGACAGGCTGGATTTGGTACATTGAGTCCAAATCAACAGACACAAACATTAAAGTGTTTAAATTTTCCCTTTTTGTCTGACTTCAGATGCTCAGTTGTGTTTTGAACTAAATACTAATATTTTTATGCTAACATGCAAGGTCAACGCATTAACTCGCAAGTTAGCATTTTAACATTTATACATATCAACATAGTAAAGGTGTACTATTCTGCAGTGGTAGTTTTTGAAGTTCTGAGTTGTTTGTGATGCTGTAGGAAGCCATTGTAACTGCTGTCAATCCAAACTCACTATAGCTGCCGCTGTCTATGAAGGAGCAAGATTTAAAATGTTTTTGAGGTGCCCTGATTGAGAATGCTTACCTCACTGCTGCTGCCAACCGGATCTAAAAACAGAAAAGACACAACACCAATAATAGAAGTAAAAATTTGTATCTCATTTTAAAGGATATATTCACATATTTTCTAATCTGTCTTTCAAATAGTCAGGGGCAATCCTGCTGTTTATACTGGCCATTAAAAGATCCCTTCTTAATGTGCTTCCAATGGAGCAGTTGGGGGACAAAATTCAGACTCAGAATCTGTTTTATTGCCAGTTATGTGTACACATACGAGGAATTTGTACATTGCTCACGATGTGCTTATTCATACAAAAATACAAAATCACAACAATAAAAATAAAATAAAATCAGACACAGACTTCAGTATAGACAACACAAATATACACACTATGAACAAAAACAATATAGATATATTGACAAATAGTGCAGTGAGCAGAGTGCAAAGGATGCAGGAGTATGTACATGTCGGAGGTGGATGTGATTTACAGGTACATATTAATGTACACATGTACACAGTGCAATGAAGCATAGTGCAAAGGATGCTGGAATAAATAAATAAAGTATTTTTTGCAGGAGTTATGACTTGAGTTAGGTGGATTGGTATACAGTATCTACAATATGACAATATATCAGTATGAACAGCACTGAAATAGAGAATGGTGAATAAATTATAAGTGTTAGCCAGTAAACAAGTGGCTCATTAGAGGCAGAGTTACTGAGTTATTGTACTAGAATTGTTCCTGACACTGTGAGTCAGAAATCAGCTGTTCATCAGGTCGATGGCTTGTGGGAAGAACCTGCGAAATTACTAACCCACCCATTCAACAGGTACAAAAACACAATATCAAAAACAAAAAGAACTTCTGCAGGTGTTTAACAACACTTTTGCAAATACCATATATGCCAAAATGGCTCTTACAGGTGATTTTTGTCATTTTGTTCACAACAAATTATACAATGTTTTGTTCATCGAGATCTGATGTGTGATGTAAGTGTTCCCTTTGTTTGAGCAGTGTACCCAAACAGAATCTTGTACTATAGGACAATAACTTTGGAAAATACTACTTGTTTTGATTAAGTTGGGCAGCTAACTGAGAAAATCGTGTACAGAGCACCTAGCACTCAACTCTCTGACTATCTTCCAGGTAGTGACAGAACTTCACTAATAAAAGTAAAAATTGTGTACCTACTTTGGTGGAGAAAGACGTCTATCAGATGCAGTTGACTCTGTTTCTTTCACAATGCAAGGTGCTGTCTCAGTGAATACAGTTAGAAGTGAGTTACATTTTTATAGAGGACAGCCTGACACGGACAAACCCACATGCCCTTATTTGAACATGTCTCTAAGTTATGTAGGAGAAAGAACAGGAGAAAAATATTCTGCTGTTTGATTTAGGAAGTTGAACAAAGACCGAATCATTTATATTGACACACAGCCCTTTGGAGGTCTTTGATTGGCTGATACAATACTTAAGGAAGGGCGGTTTTTTTCTGTAAAGTAATTTGGTCTATAAACTAAACTTTTTGCACGTACCCCCACATTTTGCACGTACGGGACACTCCAGACCGTCTCATATAGAGACGCTTCCGGGAGCGTCTCATAGAGAGGACATAACTATGTTTTGTCACTTTTTCTGAAAGCGTTGGTATCGGACGCCCTGAGATGAGAACAGGCTGGTCATGGGGGTTATTATGAAGAGTTTTCACTATTTATCAAAATGGGGGATTATTCCTTTAAGTAAGAGACAATAAATCGTGTTTCACAATAGAGGGCATGTGCATGACGTCACAGAACGCAGTTACGCTCACTGAGTGGCAGAAAGACAGCATCAGTGTTAGCTTGAATCAGCTAAAACACAAACAACACATCTAAAATGGGAAAGAGCTGGACTGCTGGTTCTTTGGTAAGCAGTTAAGATCACTGTCGAGTCCGACTGACTTTAATTTGAGCAAATAATCACTTCCCTCGTTATGGCTAACGGTGGTGCAGTGGTTAGCACTGTGGCTCCTAGCAAGAAGGTTGTGGGTTCAAACCCGGCCTTTCTGTGTGGAGTTTACATGTTCTCCCCATGTCTGGGGGGGTTCTCTCTGGGAGATCTGGCTTCCTGCTACCATTCAAAGACATGCAGACTAGGTAAATTGGTGACCCTAAATTGTCCTTAGGTGTGAGCATGAGTGGTTGTTTGTCTATGTGTGGCCCTGCGATGGACTGGTGACCTGTACTTCGCCTTTTGGCCGTTGCCAGCTGGGATTGGCTCCAGCCCCCCCGCGACCCTGTACGCAGGATAAGCGGTTGACGATGGATGAACATTTGGAGTTGTGTTTGTTTCCACCTGATGAATGTAAGTTCAGTGTTCACTCTTCTTTTAGCTATTTGTTGGTCTCTAGCATATGCGGAGAACAAATATCTGACTCTTTCTTCGAGAGCTAGTGTCTAAATGTGTGTGTCTGCTGTTTGGTGCTGGGCAGGTAGAGGACAGCGGGTTTATCAGAGCTGTTGTCTGCTGCTGCTGGAAGCAAGGATAATGAGAGCGCTGAGACTGAACCAGACATGAAATACACCATCAAACCAAAATAATGAGAGAAAAGAGACTAAAAACTCAGTTGCTTTTTCTTCTGTTCTTGAAAGGCCTTTTGAGATTTTTTGCTTTGTTTCTGATGAACTTGCTTTGGACAGTATTGCCAAATCGGTCTCTTCATCCTGACTTGCAGATTGAAGATGGATATTTCAGCAGAAATACAGAAGGAAATACAGAGTCATGTTACTGCCTCCTGCACTTGTGCTGTGAGGTAACTCTGACAGCAGGAGCTGGCTGCACCAGCTTTTGTTAAGACTAGTTATAGCATAACTGTTTACTAAGTTGAGATAAAAAGTAAAACAGGTTGCACTCCACAAACAACTTCTTTTGTAGGATGAGTTCTTACTAAATATTTAAAGAGATAGTCCTATCCATAGTCAGTGTTTTACCTGCAGTATATCAGAATCAGAAATACTTTATTGATCCACGAGGGGAAATTCTGTGTCACAGTTGCACACATTGCACATCAAGGCAAAAGGAATATGAATAAAGATAGAAAGTCAGTATATAAAGAAGTATAGAAATATCAGAGTAAAAATATAAAATACAAGGAATATAAAGGATTGTGGATTTGTACAATATTTACATTGTTATGGTGAACAGTAATAATGAATAAATAGTAGAAGCAGAATTGCAGCAGAGAGTGTTGCTCATTAAGTATTTAAACAGGTACTATTGCACAGAACAGATAATAATGCCCAGTTTAAAACTAACTAAGTGTCCGTGTGTCAGACACTTAGAGGGAGGAGTTATAAAGTTTGATGGCCACAGGCAGGAATGATTTCCTGTGACGCTCTGTGGTGCATTTTGGGGGAATAAGTCTTGCACTCAAAGTGCTGTTGTGTACGAGCAGCACGTCATGGAGTGGGTGGGAGACATTGTCCAAGATGACATGTAGTTTGGACAGCATCCTCCTGTCTGACACCAACAGCAGAGAGTCCAGCTCCACCCCCACAAAGTCACTGGCCTTGTGGTTTGTTGAGTCTGTTAGCATCTGCTACCCTCAACCTGCTGCCCCAACATGCAACAGAAAACAGGATAGCACTGGCCACCACAGACTCATAGAAGACGCTTTCATCTGTATTAGAACCATAGTTTCCATTAACGATATCAAGCAAGCCCCCTTTGGGAAGAGGACACACCTTCATCTGTAGTAAAATAATTTCCATTGCTATCATCAGTTTGTGAGGAGGAAACAACATCACCTGTTCCACAATGGAATATATTCTCTAGACCAACTGAAGTCCCGATTGAAGGGCTCCACTACGGTGTTCGTCAGTATTGATCAAACCACTGTGGGGTCTGAATATTGTAGAAAACCCAACAGCATAATTATCCCATTGACAGATGTGATTTATCCTTTGGAGAATGCTCTCACTATGTGTGTTGCTTAAACATTTTTCAACACATGGTGAGGCATAAACATAGAAAAGCAACAAATCGTGATTATTAGCATTAATAATGTTGAATAGGTGGTCCAAGTGGTCTACAACTTGTGACTCAGCTCGTCTATTGGCTCATTTCAACACATGGCGCAACCACCCTGTTGCCGATGTCACCTCATCATTGTTGATCTTAATCTTCACCTTCTTGTTGATCTTCCTGGATCACTTTTAAAGACTCGCTGAAGGAGATGTTTCTTTTTTTGGTTCTGGTTGTCCGGGATCCTTACAGCCAGACTGAACATACCGGTTGTTCCATACCTGTAAAAGGAAAAACAAAGGCATGGATAAACTGATGAGCCTTCTTTGTTGGGAACACTCGTCTAAGTTAGGTCAATTTTTCTGAGTTGTTGAGAGCAAAACTGAACAAGACAATTGACTCTTGCTGATTAATCCGTGTATGGTTCGTTCTTTGATTATTTCGTTTGAAAACCAAATAAATAAAAAGGTCATTTTTTGTTTTTCTGTTTTGAAATGGAAAAACACAAACAGAATACAAAAAAAAAACAGACATTGATTTTTGTATTAAAACCAAAACAGTCAGATATTGATTTTATTAGTGTAGCTTTGTCTTATGATGTGGGGACAGAGTGGACCCAAACGCAACACTTGGGATGAACAGGTTTTATTGAACAGAGAAAAAGTAGGAAAAACAAAGTGGGCTAGAGCAATGAGGTGGCACCAGGTTTGGAGCAACGACGATCAAGCAGCAATGGAGTGGAGAACCGGGGTTGATATGCAGGCAGGGATGAGGTTGATTGCTGGCAGGTGTGGCAGGCAGAGGAGGTGGCTGACGAGATGCAGGTACGGGTGGCTGGCTGGGCTCAGGAAAAGGGGGAGAGAGAGGGAGAGCACACAGGGGGAAAGGAGGAGACACAAACAGGCAGGCCAAAACACCAGGTTAAAAAGAGAATCACAAGCAAAAAAAAAAAGGAGAAATAAACAGGACACTCACCGTCAGCCGGGCTGCCACCACAACAGCTTTGTGTGTTACACTTGATAAACCTACAGCAGATATAGCCTACTCGGGCGATGGTGGTGCCTGATTAAATGTAGCCTAATTAAGATGAGCTTGAACATCAACATAAGTGGGTTTTTAGTTTGAAAAACAGGACAATATTATATAGCTGCAGTACCTGTGCTTCCTCCCCACACTTACTGTTTGAACAGAGATGTGATTGCTTAGCTTACAGAAAAGTGAACAAACTACATAGTCAACCCAGAGTCACAATGTCAAACTGTATCCAAACCACAGCATAATATTTTTCTTCATCGTAGATATGCGAATTCACTTTGCTGTCTGTTACTCTCTCATAAGTTGTGACTACAAATTCTAAGCAGGTTATTAGTGGGTAGGTGTGTTTACACAGGACAAATGACGGAAGAAAATATAGTCAGAATGCAGACTAGAAAACATTTGCACTATTCCTACTATACCTTGCAATTAGTGTTCAAACTAGTCAATATTGTACTTAACTTTTCAGTTAAATGCACCGTAGGTTTATTTTCACCGTTTTCATTAGGGTTTTTGGGGGGTTTAATTATTTTTGTAGATGTGGCACGAGCCTCCAGTTTCTTTATGCAATGCATTTTGGGACAATAGTGTCCATCAAGAGAGCAAGCAAAAACGTTTTGAATACTTATTTTGTCTCTTTTTATGTAACTAGGACTGTGGTTGGGTGCATATAGAAAAATGTAAAGATCTCTAGATGACAGGTCCCACAACCACTCTTGGCTTCCACAATGCTTAATGCTTTATTAACTTTTTTGGGAAACAAGATTTTTTACAAAGTTTCAGGAGAGATTACACTCCAAAAAAGGACCTGTAATTGTATAAGTAGAGTTATAATTTGCACTTGCTAATTTCCTTATTTGAACATGATGTAATGTCTCGTAAACTCTGGTTGACCAACTTAATTTATAACATGGTGAGTTTTCAGTTTTATTGCTTACATCAAATGATGCCTCACAATATATGTAAGAGACTGAACCAGACAGGACATGTAGTGAAAACAAAAACTAATACTTTAATGTATAGTTTTTCTCTTCTTTCATAGATATTGTAATTCAAAGTGTTTTTTTTTAATGCACATTGTGTACTGTTGCTAAATCCTCAGAAAGGTCCTTCGCTTTGTTTGTGGAGGAAGTGTTTTGTGTTTTCACAGTAAAACCACCTCTTCACTCTGACTTGCAGGCTGAGGATGGAGATACAGAAAATTACTCCCTTCTACACTTCTGCTATGAGGTTAAAAAAGAGGAAGCGCCAGGAAACACAGTTAACAGCACAAACAGATGTGAACAGTGCACAGTAAAGGTTAAAAGTGCACGTGGATATTTTA